CAAGTGATATTAATATTATGCATGTCAACATACGTAGTATATACCAAAATTTCGATCAATTTTTGGTGTTCCTTGAATCACTAGGTAAGTCCTTTGATGTTATAATTATGTCGGAAACCCACAATGTGTACTGCACAAATGACTTTAACATACCTGGCTACAGATTGTTCTTCAATGAAAGTAGTCTTAACCGATGTGATGGGAGCATAATCTATGTCAAAAGTGACCTCCACATTGAAGATAGGATAATCCAAGATAATAAGTTAAAAATTATCAAAGTCACACTCCAAAAAAACCAAAAATTTGTGGAGATCCTTGCTACATACAGATGTTTTGCCGTTACAAAAGAAGAACTTATTGAAAATTTGGAAAGACTACTGCAGCAATCAAGCATGGATCAAAACAGAGTGTATGTGTTTGCTGGTGACATTAATATAGATCTGTTATCTAAGGAATCTGACTCGACAAATAACTACTTGACTTTATTACAGGGGCATGGTTTTGTAAGTGCAATAAATAAACCCACAAGAGTTACTGAAAATGGAGGTACCTGTTTAGATCACTTTTTTATTAAATGTAAGAGTGACCTTCTTAGCAATATTAGGGCTGTGATTTTGGAAAATGATCTCACTGATCATCACCCCATTCTGCTTAACATTCGGTTACAAACATCCTTTAACAACTTAGATAATAATAATACTTACAAATCAATAAATCATAAAATTCTGGCAAAAAAAATTGAGGGTGAGCGGTGGGGTGAGGTTTTGCAGGAGAATAATGTAGAATTGTGTACAAATATATTTGTGAACAAATTAAAAAATATGATTATGGAATCAACAATTATAAAAACAATACCAAACAGGAAGAAGAAATTGAAGCCTTGGATCACTGGTGGGCTCTTATTGTCAATTCGAAATAGAAACCGCCTTAAAAAGGAAACTACCTTGAATCCCAACAATTTTATAATTTTGAATAGGTATCAAGAATATCGAAAAATTTTGGGTAAGTTAATAAAAAATTCAAAGTATACTTATTACAAATTATTAGCTCAAAGAAATTTAAATGATTCAAAAAAACTATGGAATGTGATTAGGGAGGCCACCAATGATCAGGTCTGTAGGTCAGAAATAAAAGCAATTAATAACCAGGTAAATTCGGAAATAACAAACAAAAAACAGATTGCGAATGAATTCAATTCTTATTTTTGTAATATAGGAAAACATTTGGCAGGAAAGATTACTGGAGGCGCTCGGAATCATGGTGTGAGGGAGAGGAGGAGTGAAAACTCGTTCTTTTTGAGTCCTGTGACAAGTGATGATATAATTAGAGAAGTGATGAGCCTTAAGAATGGGGTAAAGGGTGGAAATGATGCTATTTCATCTAATGTAATAAAAACTTTTAAAGAAAATCTCAGCATTCCGCTTAAGCACATAACAAATCTATCATTTGCTGCTGGTATTTTCCCTGATATATTGAAAAATACTAAAATCATACCCTTATACAAGCAAGGTGATAAAAAATTATTAAATAACTATAGACCAATTTCTTTGACTAGTACAGTGAGTAAAATCATTGAGAAATGCTTTAGGAGAAAATTAAACACCTTTTTAGAGAAAAATTGCCTTCTCAACTCAAATCAATTTGCTTTCAGGGATCATGCAAATACTGAAAATGCTCTTGTAAAGGTTACAGAAGAGATACTTAAAAATCTAGATCAGGGGAAAAAAGTGGTAGGGGTTTTTTTGGATTTGAGAAAAGCGTTTGACACTGTGGAGCACCAAATTTTATTGAAACGATTAGAGAGTGTGGGAGTCAGGGGTATTCCAAATAACTTTATTAAGTCGTATCTGGCTGAGAGGAAACAAACCACAGTTGTCTCTGGACAAGAAAGTAATGCATTGCAGGTAGAATTTGGTGTGCCACAAGGTACAGTGCTCTCAACTTTGTTATTCAACATTTACATAAATGGCATAATGGAGCAGCTTGATGATGAGAATATTAATACCTATTGCTTTGCTGACGATACAAGTATTATAATAAGTGGTAACGACTGGGGAATTACTAAGCTAAAGGCAGAAAAAGCATTACAAAAAATTAAGAACTGGTTGGATGAAAGTTTACTTTCCCTTAATGTAGAGAAAACCAATTTTGTGGCTTTTTCGCTTTCCTCTCGCTCACTGCCGGATTTCGAGTGCATCAAAGTTCATGATTCAAAATGTGATTTGGGCCTACATTGTGAGTGTGATATGATCATAAAAAGAAAGTCTAGCCTAAGATACCTTGGAGTTATTTTGGATGAAAAACTAACTTGGAAAGAACATGTTGAGTATATAACTGCAAAAGTAAGGAAACTAATACACAAATTCTATGAACTAAGAAAAATGCTTACATTAAAAACGTTAAAGACAATTTATTGTGCGTTAGTGGAGTCCATGATAAACTATGGTTTGGTGTTGTGGGGGAATGCAGGCACAACAACACTATCAAAATTACAGGTATCCCAAAGATGGATTATAAAGACTATGCTGTTTAAGAAAAAAAGATATCCTACAGCTCTTACTCACAAAGATAGTAATGTTCTAACCATAGAACAGCTTTATTTAAAATCAGTCCTGAGATTCATGATAAAGAACAACTACTACAAAGAAAATTTAAAACACGGACAAAATACAAGAAGTGCCACTCAAGGAAAGGTTGAACTGCAGAACCCCAAGCACACAGCCTGTCAAAATCACATTTACTGTGTGGGTCCAAAGGTTTACAATGACTTACCTGATAGCTTTAAACAAAAAACATATTGCAAAATTAAAAAACCCTTAACAAAATGGATTGTTGATAGTGGATATAGGATTAATTATGTGATATAAAAAGTACAAACAAACAATTATTGGTATATTTGAAGATAGGAAGAAATTTATTGTACAAAGAAATTACATCTGAAATGTTGAAATTGTTATTTGTTAAATTGTATTAAAACCTAAAATATTAAATGAAAGTACAAACCTCAAAATAAAATATTTTAAATGAATTAAGTTTAATGGGGTGCACACACAGTATTATAAATACCATTGTGCATCTAATAATGTTAGCAGTATTAGGAAATTGTATTAAGATTGATATAACTATGTGTAGGTATTGCATTAAATTTTTAAGTAAATTAAATTTGAATATTTTTATCTCAAGTACATAATATGTCTACGATTTGTATATCATAGAATTATAATTGTATTGTAACTATTGCTATTGCTAATAAATAAATAAAAAATAAATAAATTATTATTTTTGGACTAATAGCATCTACTCACATTATTTCGAACATTTTTATGTTTATAGAAAAAAGTAAAAAGTAGTTGGCGTGGTAGTTGGAGTTTGACAGGTTGTTGGATTGCCTATTTGCCTAATTAGAGACCAAAAATTCCTCGAAAAATTCCATTGTAGCACAGTGTTGAGAAATAACCCCTATAGTTAAGGGCGCGGAAGAGGAAAGTTTCTGAATCCGGTGTTTTTAAACTAAGAACACCCAGCCTTTTTGAACAATTCTGAAAAAATCAGCTTGCCCCTTTTTTTTTCACACCTTCCGAAAATACAATTATCTTTGACTGATATTGTGATTCAAGAAGTATTGTCTTTACTGTATAATTATGTATAGGTACTGACCTTGCTTTTCGCATGCCTTTGCTAAGTGATTTAAATCTTTTATTTGTCACTCATTTGTAAAACGTCACTTATCAAGTCTAAACATAACCAGCGAAAATTGATTTTTACGAGCTACTGGCTCTACTGACTTGTAAAATTGACAGCTAAACTGTAAAAACTTTTTACAAGTCAGTAGAATTATTTGTTTTTGAAAAATCGGTTTTATCACAAGAATAATTGCTTGTAGGTACCTTCTGGGAGACTTTTCTGGTGATAAACTGTTGGCTACGACTGCAGCTTCATTAATAATATCTTGTAATAAATTCATTTCTGGAAAAAAATTGCAAAATGGAAATCTGTCAAAAAACCTATTTATAACTAGAAACAACGTCTTAACAACGTATCATTCTCATAGTTATACCAACTACCAAAACTTCTGTGAGAAAAAATCAAGGAAAAACATATAAATTTCAAATTTTTGTTATGTATTGATTTTTTATTTGTCCCTATATCTTTTACAAATGAGTAACAAATAAATTATTGTACATTATACGCCAGGTAGCAGTTTTTACTGGCTCTTGAAGGTGACAAGCTCGCCTGGCGGCTCGCTAGTCATTTCCTTCAATCGCCAGTAAAAACTGTTTTACCTGGCTAATAATGTAAAATACTATTACCACCCTGATGGCAAGTATATTCTAATACGTAGTAGATATACCAATTCTGCCTTAGCCTGTTGGCATTTTTGGGACAACTTTTTGCAATTTTTTAGCATCTTTTATATAGGGATTTAGTAACTCCTTTTCAACTGTCTTCATTATAGGAATTGAAACTTTTCCCATGTTCTAACATATTTTTTGATTCCATATAGTGTTGTAATAATTCGAGTAATAATTCTAATTCTACTCTCTTAATACTTGCGCCTCGACTTGCACTGATATTTACAAATCACCTGACTAGGTATCAACATATAACATAAATTAAGGCCAAGGGAACCTTTAACCTATTTCAAACCATAAATAATTTTCGGAATAATATGAGTAAATCCTAATAGTCCGAAAATAATATGTTAAGTGATAGGTAAATTCTTAAATTATTTTGCGAATAACAAAAGAAACTAATAGCCCGATCATCGGAATAGAAATGAAAACACTATCATTCCGATTATCCGACGAGCATCCAGTCCCCTAAAAAAATCACACTGTATTTAGCATTTTAGTGTTTAGATCTAGGTTTAGATTTTGTATTTATTGATGAATGAGAATAATATTGTACTCTAGAGTAATAAAAAGATACCTATTGAAGGATGTAGATATGGGCCCTACCGAGCGCTCAGACTCCTATACACCACCTTAAAAAAAAACTCCTTACCCTCCAAAGTCCCATTCTGCACAAATATAAGGCCCTGGTCTCAATATAACTAAAAGATCTTCCTCTTGAGCCATTTTAAGGAATTTCACAATATCCAGAAATAAACTAAAATCATTGTCCTTTGCATTTTGACCAAAATCAAATTGGCCATCTTCAGGCTCATGGACGTTCCAGGGCACATAAGTTTCCACACAATTTAGCCCCGCAGCGCGGTACATTTTCAATCTATCCCTCCAATACTGCGGATGGACCCTGAAATAATGCAGAGCCCCACTAAAAATTGTTATTTTTTTACCATTCAATAAGAAATCTGGATTGTCAGAGTTTAGGCCACTGTGTATTCCTTCAGCAGAGGTGTAATATTCATATAAACTTGGTAAAATATTTCCAGTGTCGTCGCCCATCTTCAAAAAAAAACAAAAAACAGCACCTGACCGACCTGTTGAGTGTTGGCTGTTTTTTATTTATTACAATTTACGCTGCGTTCGTTTATTCGATCTGTGCGCACCGTGCTCCCGAAAATTGTTATTTGCCGTTCGTTTATATTTTTCGCTTTACGAGCAAAACTTTTCACGTTGGTTCAAGACGCGTTCGTTTATTCGATCTGTGCACACCGTGCGCTCGAAGCCTCGAAATTGCTAAATGTCGTTCGGTTATTCTTTTTCGAGCGTTTCGAGCAAAATTTTCGCATTCGTAAATACGTCGGGAGAGCATATCGAGCTCGCTCATTTCGCTCCGTACTTCATATCCTCTAAAATCATTTGTTTGTTAATCTGCCAAAATTTACGAAAGCGTAGAAGGGCCACTTTGTGATTTTCTTTTTCCCGTATTAAATTCCGACTTATAAGTCAGAATTCCGACTTATAAGTCGGAATAAGATGATTCCGACTTAAGCCTAGTACTCATAACTGCGAAATTCGCATTTTTTTGACATTGCTTCGACAATTTGAAGTTTGATACACGCATAGAACGTCAAATTGTCAACGCAATGTCAAAAAAAAGCGAATTTCGCAGTTATGAGTACTAGGCTTTAGTCGGAATTCTGACTTATAAGTCGGAATCTGACATATAAGTCAGAATAAGGCACAGCCTCCTACATTTAACAAGCCATGAAGTTAAAAAGGCAACACCGCAATCTTACCGTCAAGTGCTGGTGGTGTTTGTTTGTATAAATATATATTTTTTATTTTATTAATATGAATCACAAAAAATGCATAATTTATTGTACTAAAGGGCCAAAAACAGTAATTCAATGAATAATTTAACCGAGAATTTAACTATTTGTGTAAATAAGAACAGTAAATAATTGATTTAAATGAATATATTTATTTCTAGAGTCTAAAGCGTATAGCCTATGTTTCAGTATGTCTTTTGAAAATCTAACTTTTTCTTTCTTCGGGATTTTTTCGGAAGGCAAGTCCATTCAAATACTTGAGCTGATTTTCGAAAATAAGAGGTACCTACTTTTAAGAGTTGGACGTTTTAGTTTGAACTCTCGAACTACGCCTTTATCCTTGTTTGTTTCAAATCTAATTATTTTGGTTTCTTCAAAATGTTTACAACACACAACACACCACAGAATTTTTCGTTATTGGTATAATCTTGGGTATAATTATCTTGGTGTATTGCTTTCATCCACATTTTTTGCACTTCAGAATTTTTTTTGAAATAAAAATGTTTGCATTTCTTCAGTTTTTAAGGAACTCCTAATAGTTCGATTTGCACCCAGGAACACAGTAGTTTCATGGCATCTGGAACAAGTTTAAATATGTTAGGTAATATATCGAGACCTATATGCTCTTGCAGACAAATATTAATATTGTTTTTATTGTTTTACCTTACCTTACCTTCATTTTTGCTCCTGTACCCATTTGCTAAAAATTTGCAATCAGAGCACAAAGGAACAGGTATCAACTAAATATGGGCAATATATTGGTGTGTTTCTATCCACTTTTTCGTCAATAATGCCCATAAAAATACTAAATTGCAACAATACACAATGAAAGCAATACACAGAAACACATAACCCAATAACAAAATAGCACCATACGCGACGTTGCCGTCATTTCCAACTTCATGGCTTGTTAAGTATAGGAGGCTGTGAATAAGGTGATTCCGACTAAAGCCTAGTACTCATAACTGCGAAATTCGCATTTTATTGACATTGCGTTGACAAATTGACGTTTTATATGCGTGTATCAAATGTCAAATTGTCGAAGCAATGTCAAAAAAATGCGAATATCGCAGTTATAAGTACTAGGCTTTATAAGTCGGAATTCCGACTTAAGCCTAGTACTCATAACTGCGAAATTCGCATTTTTTTGACATTGGTTCGACAATTTGACGTTTGATACATGCATAAAACGTCAGATTGTCAACGCAATGTCACAAAAATGCGAATTTCGCAGTTATGAGTACTAGCACAGCCCCCTACATTTAACAAGCCATGAAGTTAAAAAGGCAACACCGCAATCTTACCGCCAAGTGGTGCTGGTGGTGTTTGTTTGTATAAATATATATTTTTTATTTTATTAATATGAATCACAAAAAATACATAATTTATTGTACTAAAGGGCCAAAAACAGTAATTCAATGAATAATTTAACTATTTGTGTAAATAAGAACAGTAAATAATTGATTTAAATGAATATATTTCTAGATGAGTCTAAAGTGTTATAGGCCTATGTTTCAGTATGTCTTTTGAAAATCTAACTTTTTCTTTCTTCGGGATTTTTTCGGAAGGCAAGACCATTCAAATACTTGAGCTGATTTTCGAAAATAAGAGGTACCTACTTTTAAGAGTTGGACGTTTTAGTTTGAACTCTCGAACTACGCCTTTATCCTTGTTTGTTTCAAATCTAATTATTTCGGTTTCTTCAAAATGTTTACAACACACCACAGAATTTTTCGTTATTGTATAATCTCGGGTATAATTATCTTGGTGTATTGCTTTCATCCACATTTTTTGCACTTCAGAATTTTTTTGGAAATAAAAATGTTTGCATTTCTTCAGTTTTTAAGGAACTCCTAATAGTTCGATTTGCACCCAGGAACACAGTAGTTTCATTGCATCTGGAACAAGTTTAAATATCTTAGGTAATATATCGAGACCTATGCTCTTGCAGACAAATATTAATATTGTTTTTATTGTTTTACCTTACCTTCATTTTTGCTCCTGTACCCATTTGCTAAAAATTTGCAATCAAAGCACAAAGGAACAGGTATCAACTAAATATGGGCAATATATTGGTGTGTTTCTATCCACTTTTTCGTCAATAATGCCCATAAAAATACTAAATTGCAACAATACACAATGAAAGCAATACACAGAAACACATAACCCAATAACAAAATAGCACCATACGCGACGTTGCCGTCATTTCCAACTTCATGGCTTGTTAAGTATAGGAGGCTGTGGTACTAGGCTTTATAGTAGTCGGAATATTAGATGCGTATAAACAGTCATCTTTCGATTTACTTCAGTCATCAGTCGCACTGTGTTTAGTCTGCGTTTTGGAAGAAATTAGAAATTACTTCTCCATTCGTTTTTCGTAGTTTTAGTGTTGCAGTACGTTCTCTACAATTTGCTATGGGTGACTCCGAAGACGAGGTAAGTATTGTTATTTATAGATACCTCTCCATTAAATGGGGCACTTTCCAAATTTCACGGATAAATTGACCGGTTAAATAAACCGGTAGCTGTCCAAAAATTCCGGTAAAAGTCAGATGCAAGTCCGGTTACAAGATCTCTCTGGTGCATTTTGGAACGCTTTGGTGTCAAAGTTTGGTGGTGTTGCTTATTATTTTTTGGAATGGATTTTTTTGTGGGATGCAGTGAGGTTGGTATGTATTTTTATTATTTTTAACAGTCAACAAACGGTAGTTTTCAGTACGATTTTTGTAGATTATGTGAGCTGAGTATTTGGTTTGTCGATTTCATAATGACGCCCACGCACAAACATTTTTTTATTCTGCCATCTGCAAGCAGCAATTTAACAATAGACTGCCAATAGTGCCCATTCAAAGCAATTAAATTAATGTACGTCAAAAAAAAAGTGTCAATAAACCTTCAACCGAAAAAACCGACAAAAATTCCCGGTGGATTCGGTGCCTCACCGGTTTTGAACAGCTGATCATTCCGGTCAATTTTGGAACGAACGATCGGGTTCAACCGGTAAAAAGTCGGTACATTTTGGAACGGTTTGGTGAGTAAACTATTAAACCGGTATCGCACCGGTTCAGAAACCGGTGAATTTTGGAAAGTGCCCATGCATATTCAATCCTGGGTTCAGTCAAACATGATGTTCAAAAAATTGTGAAATTTAAAATCCGATTATAAATTTTCACCTTTTGGTCTTTAGTTGGGGTATTAGGTAGTGGAACTGCCTGGAAGTAGTTTTTAGAATAATAACACGTGTTACCTTTTTCTATTTGTCTTTATTTGATTTTAGGTAGAAGTTAACACCCTCATTGAAAAGTACTTTTCGCTTGGATTTCATAATAAAGAAATTGTGGCATTTCTAAAACATATCTATTCATAATATAAGAATGCCCTTACGAACTCTTAAACGTAAATTGTCTAAATTTGCGTCTTTTCCGAAGAAAAAATGTCTCCCCAATTGAAGACGTTGTGCGATTTCTTGAAAGGGAAATACAACAATTTGGGCAATTACATGGATATAAGTGGATGTACCTCAGGTGTATTCAGCATAACTTAACTGTAACACAGGAGGTAGTTAGAGAGTTACTACAGGTTTTGGATCCGGAAGGAGTTGACCTACGGAGTAGAAAGCGATTACGACGCAGGCAATACTACAGCAATGGCCCAAATTTTCTTGAGCGTTTAGAATCCTATGATAAATTAAAGCCATATGGATTATATATAAATGGGTGTATTGATGGATTTTCTAGACATATAATATGGTTAAAAGTTGGACCAACTTCCAGTGATCCAAAGGTATGTATACATTGGGTTTCTTTTTTTCTTGGTCTACCATTGGAATCTCGGAAACGGTGAGAAGTACGAGATCGGCTAAATTAGGGCAAAGTTGTAGAATTTTATGGTCAACAAAATTGACAAGGCTATAATAATGCCACCCGGTTTTCACGGGTTTAAAATCTTGCTAGACGCCTCCAAAGTGCAAAAAAAAATATAAATTCGGAATACTTGCTGACACCTGGTTTTTGTTTAAATTAGGGACGTCAATGGCGTTCAAATCTGACAGTACTGTGTTCTGTTTATGGTTGATTTTTGTGAAATCAACGCTCTCTTAATTTAGACAAAAACCAAGCAATTACATCTTTCGTCAAGTTTTTCGAAATTTTTATTTTTTTTTGCACTTTGGGCAAACTTCCCCGCTACATGCTGCCCAGAAATGCTGCCAGACTGGTTTTCGATCACGGG